TTGATTCCATTTTTAATTGAAAAATTAGTAATTAGTTTAATAAAACTTTATGCCAGGTAACTGGTCATGTATCCGAGGGTTGATCGTCATGAAACGATTAATGCTATTTCATGTAATTCAAACGTATTTTCCATCAGCAATGCTTGTTTCCATTTCATGGATGAGCTTTTGGCTCGATCCTCGTGCTTCACCAGCTCGGATTACACTGACCATTACTACATTACTTACATTGACCACAATGAGTAATGGTGCAAGACAAGACTTGCCACAAGTTCGTTATCATTCTCTTTTTCAAACTTGAAAGAGATATTTTGTCATATTTCTATTTGTATTATATTACTTATTTATGATTAGTTTAATTTTTGCATAAACACAGAAAACAAATTCAATGATAAATTAAAAAAACTGAAACGAAAGGTAAAAAACCAAAAAATTAATAAATTGATTTAATCCACAATTTGAATTTTCCTAATCAAAGTAAGTTATTTTTAAAAATTTAAAAAAAAGCTAGAGTTAAAGTTTTACTTACATCATTTTTCATATTTTCGTTTTACAAATCGTATTATTATATGAGAAAAAATATTTTATTTATTTTACCAAATGTAACTTGCGGATAAATATAAAAACAAAAATGATGAAATTATTTATTTAAACATATTGGAAATGCAGAGAATTACATTATCATGTCACATTTATATCGTGTTTAGACATAAATATAAGGTATTATATTTCATATTAAATAATTCCTTTCTGTTCTTTTTTCCATTTCTTTCATTATTAATCTTTAACAATTTCAGTTCTTCGTTTTTTTCAGTCCTTTTATTAATAAAACTCATTTAAGGTCAGCTATATCAAAGCATTGGATATTTGGTTAACATTCTCACAGGTATTTCTGACCCTCCTTTGACCTTTTCATTTTCTTTTTTTTAGTCATTAAGTGAAAATGATACCTGCTAATTAATAATTCTCATGTTACTTAATCATACGTAACACAACTAATAAAATTTTCTGCTTCATTAAAGGTTAGTTTATAAAAGTTTAAAATTTACATTCGTTATTTTAATTAATCTAAAAAGTCCTTCTTTTTTTTAATCTTAACTGTTCAATTTATGATTGATTCACTTCTGTTTTTAACTACTAAACTAACAATTATATCTGTACTCGAATTATATTCTTACTTATCATCTAATTAAAAAAAGGAGAAGATGAAAATGCACATTTACTTCATTTTCAATTGATTGCAAATTTGTAAATATTTAATGTTAATATTTTGCAATGCGTTAAATCGATTTAATATTTTAATATTTAATTTCAAATTTGTTGTTAGGATTAGAAATATTTCATTCATATTTTGATAATTAAAAAAAATTTTTTAATTTTCTAAAATTAATTGATAAGCATAAAATTTATTCAATTTTTTAGGCACTAATATTTCTCGTATTGTTGGAGTATTCATTTGTTAGCTATTATTTAACCAAACGTGACTATAATTGCATGCATCGCCGCATTTTTGGTACTACTGAAATTTATCCTGAAACTGAAAAAGTAAAAAAAATTAATTATTATTTAATGTTTTTTTTTCCAAATATTAACACCTAACCTATTTTGAATAAAATATCATGTTAAAAAAAAAACTATTTTATTCAAACATTATTTACACCATTTTGAATTAAAATAATTGCATGTTTTAATTTTTTGAAAAAAAGCAATGTTCCATTTTCAAACAATAATCAGTTTAATTTCATAAAAACACTCTTTGAATGGATGTAAAATTTGTTGCTTTCTTCCTGATTCATGTAAAAGTTAGTTATCATAAATAACTAATTTAAATAAATTAAATCATTAAATGAAATAATTTTATCTTTTTCTAATATTCCGTAAATAAATTCAAATGAATTATAATTATTAGTAGTGATAATTCATAGATTGAAAAATGTTACAGAAAGAATTGGATCCACGAAGTCCAGTAATGACCAGTACAAGAAGATATTCGACAAATAACGGTCATACAAATGCAGTAAATACGTATTCATTGACAGCTGGAATAGCGCGATGTTTACGTAACACTGCGGTAAATATTTCGAATTTATAATTAAAGATTTTTAAATTAAGTTAGACTAATTCTCCTTCTCCCCCTTTTTTTTTTTACTGAAAGCAACAAAAAGAATTATTAATATTTTATTTGAAAATAGCAATACTTATATAATGCTTGTTTAATAAATTTATTCCTCTTAGACAAAATAAATGTACATGGAGGAATTTTTATTTACAATTTTTATTCAAGTTGCTCAAATAATTTACTCATCTTGTTAATTGAACTTCTTCTTTTAATGTGTAAAATATGTATTTTCAAATTATGAGAATATATTAAATATATAAGCAAAGTAAACAAGCATATGAATGTTTTTGCATAATTAAATTATTTTCTGTTTGTTTAGAATAAATTTAAAAAAAAAAAAATTGGAATATATTTTTTCAGACATTGGTCGCTAAAACACAAAATGAACATGAAAAAATTTTAAATTTCGATATTTCAAAGCCATGTCAGAAATGTATGGCATCAAACGAATTTGTAGCAAGGCAAATTGACCATTGTAAGTTATTTTATGAATTTATAATAAAATATTTAGATGCTAAAGTAAGAAATTTCAATCATGCTTTTAATTATTCCCATTAAGTTAAACTGCTAAATTTATTTTACTTTCAGCATATTTTTCATTAAGTAATACTTTGAAATATTTATTTACGAGAAATAAGGATGAAAATTATGTCAATTTAAAATTGCTGTTACAAGCATATAGTTTATCATATTTCTAATTTTCTTAAATTTATGATTCACTTTAGGTAAAGTTAGCAATAAAACTTCTAAACTGTTCTGCTTAATTAAAATTATTAAATTCTTTTTTATTAACAAAAACAAATTACTAAAATGACGAGTTATTCTTGTCTTATTAATTTATGCATTAATTATGTATTTTTGATATTATTCTTGAGCAAAATTTGATTATTTATTAGTTGCTATTATCAATTATTTTGATTTCCTGATTAATTTATGAACTATTTTTAATTAAAATTGCCAATGATTTAGATTAGCTGGAACAATTTGAAAAACACCTTTTCATTCTTTTTTACGATTTTATATAATAACTATTATTAAGTTTAATAAATTTTTGTTATAGATAGTCGAGTTGTATTTCCATCAGTATTTTTGCTCTTTTCTACCTGTTATTGGTTATACTACAGTTGGTACACTAAAGAAGATTAATTGCCACCGAGTAAATTAATTGCAATCAGCAAAAGTTATTTCACTTCCATAAACTTTGCTCTATTATTAATTATTATTAATGACCATTGTCAACATTACTCTTTATTTACTATAGTTATGAAATTGTTTTACAATAAATTTATGCATTATTCATACACGCAACAATTATTGCTGCATGCGTGAATGAATACGTCAATGGGAGAAGTAAAATGCATGGCGTGAATCTTACACATTTACATTTTTTGCTAGTTAATTTAGAATGTTCGTATTTTTTTTAACGTTGTAATTATCATAATTTATTCATAAATATTTTTGTGCTTATGCATGTTTCAGGTAATTATTAAAAAAATGCTCTAGGTTAAATTATAAAATTTAAAGTTTAAGAGAAATTTATGTATTCTTCGAAAAGTCTCTATTAGAATTATTGAAGTTTAATATATCAAATATGAGAAAGAAGAAAAAATTATTTTCGGTAAAGGCTTAAACTGTAGATTTCTGAATGAGGATGTAAATATGACGATAATGTATGTGATACGAAATTCTACAATCTGTCTACTTTTATTTTCGGAAAACTTTATCGTTTTAAATTAAAATATCCAAATTTTTGGAATTAATAGAATTTCCAAATTACCTATTTTGTAAAAATATTTATAGAAGTAATCGGGACAATTTTTATTTAATTTCTTATTGAATCACTGCGAAGCGGTTTAATTATCAGTGAGCTAATCATTTTACAAATTATTTGATGTATGATACCTGTCATTTTATTGTTTGGTAATCAATTAACAGTTATTCAGAAAAATGTTATTGATTAACTTGCATCATAAACATCAGGAAAATATAATCCTTGGATGATTCCGATAAGATCAGTCCATCTTTAATTTAACATGAAAGTTTTATTAAATTTGTTAAAAAATGACATATTAAGTCGTATAGATTTTTTGTGTTAAAATTGTGGGATGTAATCAGATATATGTGATTTAGAGGAGGAAAGGGAATCCTGAGTAGAAAATATTAATGAAAATAATATTTGAAATAAATTTTTACTCTAAGTAAAATATTAACAGCAACAGCATTCTTCAATAATACAACGGAATGATCACAAATATAAGAGACAATATGAAGGTTTAATTTTGAATTAATGTTCTTAAATTAATCATTTCTTATTATATTATAAAATTCTTGGTGCTTTTTTTCCAATTCTGTACATCAATAATAGGCAATTAAAGAAATTTGTATGAGAAATTTAATAGACTTTCTGCTTTTGTGTATATGTCAAAAATCCTTATACATAAATGTTACGCGCACATACGGACGTGTCCTTCTGCAAATGATATGCAAAACTACAAATAAAAATTTTCGGCATTGTTAAATTAACAAAGTATCTGTATGATTTGTTGAATCAATATGATAATCTTGTATTCATTGACTAAATTAGATATTTTAATTTTTTAAGTTATTCTTTTAATTTTAAAATTTTAATTAAGTTTTAAATTAAAATTTTTTTGTTCAGAAAAGCGATAATGTATATGTAGAGGCATTAGGCCATGAAATACCAATTGGCTATTGTCAACATTTCCAAGGAATTGTTAGTGGAAAAAAGGGTGATAATGTTAGTGATAACATAATAATGCATTTTTCTAAGAAATTTCAAAATCAAAATAGTGACAAAAAAGAAAAACATAGATAGATCGGAATATTGATAGTGAAAACTTCAATAAATTAAAATAATGATGATAGTAAAGACCTGAATGAATAAGAAAAATAATAATGTTTTGAGTAAATCAAAATAATGATAATGAAAATTTAAATAGATTGGAATAACGATAACGAAAGCAATGGTTGTAACAAAAGTTGAGCGTGGATCAATAGCTGAAAATTTGTTACAATTCGGTGATATAATTGCAAACATTGATGATAAAAAAATTGCATCACGAAAAGAATTTGAAGAATTGCTAACAAAATTTAGCCAAAAAGATTACAGTGTTTGTCTTTTCTTTTTTTAACAATTGTGAAATTATCATAATTCTGATAATGATTTTATAATATGAGAAATATCGATGATAATCTTTAAGAAATTAAAAAAATTTTAAATCAAACTAATTAGAATTATTACAAGAAAGAAAAATTCCATATACAATTTCTATAGGCATATAAATTCCATTCAGAAAAAAGCAATATTTACAATATTAAATTTTTTTCAAAAATATATTCTATTTAGAAACAGTAAGATTTACGCAACAAATTTTTAATCAATTGTATATTTTTTAATTTTTAATTATCGAAATTAACAATCGTACATGAGTAATATGGTATAGTTTAAAATTGATGGAATCCGACTGCTAACAAAACTTCAAATGGATGAACATCGGCTTCCGAAAGGCTATGAACAAAATACGAATTATAAGTATCACATTGCTGTTATGTATTTCATTCGAAATTGCAAACTTTCACTCTCCATTAAATCATACAATAATAAAGTAATTTTTTTTTAATTTCTAAATGATATTTACAAAAATCAAGTGCCTAAAAAATTAAAATGTGCAAATTTTAGCGAATTAGGAAAATAAAAAAGTTATACAATAAATATTTTTGCATAATTTACCTTTTTTTATTAAATCACACCCTCTTTTTTTTTTATTTTCTAAAATAAAAGAATGAAAAACTGATTCTTTTTTTGTACGCATATTTCTGTTTCAATTTTAGAAATTATAATATTTCTCTTTGAGAAAAAAAAGAGCAAAAAAAAAAAGAAAATGATAAAATTTTATTTTTGGAAAGAGATTTTTAAGCAGAAAATTACTATCAGATTTCGAATATTATTCTAAAAATAATATGTGTAGTTAAACGATGAAATTAAAATGTCATTTTGAAATAATAATTTATACTGATAATGAATAGTGATAATATTTTATTTTGGATTAAAATTGAATGAAATTATGAAATCATTTTCCTTTTTGAGGTCTATGTTACACGTGTGATTGAACATACATTAGCAGGAATGAGCTTAACAATGGGTGACGCAATTTTAGATGTTAATTCGATTCCGGTTACAACAGTTACTGATACATCCAATATAATTTTTGCTGATTTACGAAAAAATGGATATGTAATAATCTTTTTTTTTTCTTTCTATTACAAATTTATTCATTTCCTTCTTAAAAACAGCAATACTTAATTTATAAAAATAAAAAATTTGAATTCTAAATTTAAAATTGAAGCTTTTTATAAATGATTATTGGTGATATTTTTTCATCAAATATTAGATAATAGTGGAACGATTCGAATATTACGTAAACATAATTTTACGTAGTGTTATCATTAGTTCTCCTTTATTTTTTTTCAACATGACGTTATCCATGCTCTTTTTTTTCTATAAAAGAAAATAGCGAAAAATTCTAAGTTTACAAGTTTACATACTTTTAATGTAATTTAATACATGAAAGCATTTTTTTTTCACGAAGTATTAAGGAATAGTAAATAGATTTCTAATCATACATATTAATTATGCTTCTTAACATAGTTTTATGTTGTAATAACATTCCAATGATAATGCTTATTAGTCATTTCTGCTTTTCAACGTAATGTTTCAATCTTAACACTCTTTAATAATTGTTTTTGTCTCTTTTTTCTAAAAAAAAAATTGCAGCAACAAAAATTTGCTATTGAAAATTTTTTAAAACTTTCCCTTCCCAATCATGCTGTATATAACAGTTTTATTGTTCCATTAGCAATGGATTGAATAATCTTTAGCAAATTTAGTGCAATTTGAAATTTTCAACATTTTAAACTTTTTTCCAAACGAAGAAATGATTCACTTTTAGTTTACATTATTAAAACTGATGAAAATTATTTGGCTCTCTTTATGATTGAATTTGGCGGAAAGACTTGATATCGAAAAATATTTTTTCTTATCTTTTTTCTCAATGAAAAAAAGTCGTAAATGACCAAATATACTTATTTTTTCAATCATTTTTGATTTATAAATTAAATTTAAAAGCTGAAAGTTTCAGAGCTCAAATATGATAATGAGCTTTTAAATATTAAAAGCATTTAAATTAATTTGTTAAAATTTATTAAATTGATCAATAACATTTTAAAAATCGCTATAATGTAGAATGCTATTTCAAATTAGCAGAAAAAACTGAGCATTTTGATATATAATGCGTATGATGACGTATATAATATGTATGATGTCAATTTATAAATTAATTTATGAGTGGAAAAGTGTACAAATTAAACGTTATGTAAGATGACGTAAGTAATACGTATGATAATAAGATTGATAAATTAACTAAAGCAAAAACAACCCCAAAAAAAGGGAAGTTTATAATTTATATATTTCTTAATGATAAATTACTTTTTACTTTTTGAATAAGTTTAATTAATTCATACCTTATACCCTATAAGCAAATTTAGGTAACTTTAGTAATTGAACAGCCGAATCATCCAATAGCAACAGCATATGTTCGTCTAGCATTAATGACCGAAAAATCGATTGAAATGGATTTACCACTTGCGCCTGATGTCATCGATATTTGTCAACATGAATATAATCGGATGAAACGAAATCCTAATTTAAAACCACACAAAAACATTTTAAAATCTTGCTAGTAACTTTTTGCTATTATTTAAATATCAGTCAAATAGAATTAAAAAATTCAAATTATTTTTCAACAATATCAACTAATTTCAATATTAATGAGAAAAACATATATATTCATTTTTTTTTCCTAAAATGATATTAGCAATATTTTATTTGTATTAAATGATTTTAAAAAATTGTTATAAAACATAAAATTATATTTTAAAGCTTGAAATAAATAAGCTAATAATTAAAAATTGTTATTCATACACTGCAATACAAATTATGTAATATAATAACTATCAAAAAATTAGGATTTTATCCGAAGAAATTTAAAAACAAAAAACAAATCAAAAATACGATGAAATCAAAAAATTAGCAATTAAATATAATTTATATAATACAGTATATAAGTGATAAGTAATAAAGTTGAAGATCTTGCAAAAAGTATTCATATATCAAATAAAAACTCTAAATTATGGAAGAAAAAACTATACCTATCATTACTTATACAATACAAATAATACAACGCAATATTTTTGAAAAAAAAATTTTCAAAACACGAATTTTAAATTGTTAGATCAAAAAATTTTTAGTGATAAGCCACGCTCAATTAATTCACGAATTCAAGTAAATGAGCAAACGGAAGATGTACCGATTGCATGTGAAGATAATCCGGCATTGTTAATGAAGGTTCCGGTAACGTATGCACCCGACAACGAACATCAATGCTTTGCACTGTCAGATTTACCGAAAAAGTAAACGGAAAGTTAATAATGCGTAAACATATGCATTTTGCAATTTATTAGCATCATATTAAATATATTCCATGTGAAAAATTAATAAATAATTTATTTAAAACTAATTTATCGTGAAGTTTCTCTAGTTTTTTGCTGAAATTCAAAAACTCAACTATTTTTAACTCATGATTTTTCCATCTTGCACGTAGATCTCCTTGATTATTTCATTTAAACAGGTATTTTGTAACATTTGAAAAGTAATCATATTAGATTTTCAAACAATGAATTCCGATAGAGCGGCGTTATAATCGTGATAGTAAATACTGAAATGCATATTGTATACACGGATTTTATAGCGCTATACAAGTTGATTCCAATTAACCAAACTTCATGACTTGACGTCATTCCCGGATTGCCCACCGAGATTTTCTGGCGCAACTACAACTGTTTTGAACTGATTGATTCATATTTCAAAAATAATTCTTCTGAAAATTTCTTGAAATACTGCTGAACAAACAAAAAATCCATTAAGTAATTTGCACGTTACAATGAACGCACTATAAATTAGTAGAAATTGGTATTTAATTAATGTTGGTAAGGCAGCAACTAACAGGAATATTAAAAAGTTATTTTTTTGAGAAATTATGCGATTTCTAAGGAAAACTTCTGATAACGTAATTTAAAAAAGTGGAATAAAGTAAAATTTAACGAGATGCATTTATCAAATGAAGCGATTTATATTCAATCAACCCTTCAAACAATAAAATGAATTGTCAGTGGGAAAAAGTGATGACAGTAATGATGATAATAACAATAAAAGGGATAATAATGCCGCTGGTGCATTTTTTCAGAGAGAAATATACAAACAAGAGAGCAAAATACAAATGTAAAAGCAGTCAAAGGCACAGAAAGCAGATGCACAAAAACGGCTATATGGAAAACAATATATTATCTATAGGCATATTAAACATTATAACATGTCACTGATTGAATGAAATTCAAGCAAATCATTTTAATTCACAATTGATGACATCATCAACATCAAACAGTTTGAAGAAAATCATATTTCTCCCTAAACCTAAAATATTTTGTAACAAATCCATGATATATGCATATATTTTGAAAGTCATTCTTTCAAGTGATACACAGATTTATACGGCTTATTTCCCCAAATTTAATAAATCATGACCCCAACAGCAAATTAAGAAAACTTTTAAATCCTATCCGAATTACGCTCATCTCTCTGAAATTTTTTTAATTGTAAAATTAATGTTAAAGAATCGATTAGAATTAAATTCCATATGCCAATTTTGACCATATTTACACATGTCTGAAACGAATCAAAAATTTTCCATTCCTCAATTCAGCTGCTACCATTCCGCCTCACCCGAACAGCGTTGGAAGCAGTGATCCTTACCACGTATATGCATTATCCCATCTTTCAAAGTGAACTTCCACTTGCTACGAGCACGATGTACCTATAAAACCAGCACAACTTCGTAGTTACTACATATAGTTTGATGATAATTACTCTATAGTGCAAGCCTCCGTCGTTATGGACATTTACAAAAAAGCTTGGGACATAACTACTTTAAGGGTCCTGAAATGAATGTATTCATCGAATATTAAAGTAAAGCTACAAGAAAGATAGAAGGGAAAGCTACTTTTTCGAATTGGCACATTACTAGGTTCTCTGCTTCGAAAAGCCGTTCTACATCTTCATCGTCACTTTGATCATCACCAGAATTTAGTGGATCTTCTTCGATCACCTAAATTTATTTTTAATATTTCAACTATAATAGTTTTGTCTGCAAGCAACAACATTGAACTTCTTGTTCTGTAAAGCTTGAAATGCATTTAAATAGTTACAAAGGACAATTAAATTAAAAAGCTTCTTCAAGTTATTTTATTCTACCTTTGTTTAATCGATCTCGATCCGTTTATAGATTTTTAACTACAAGATATGTAAATGGATACAAAGCTTTGTAGTATAAGAAAAACTAGACACACTTCGCAACATGTGAAAACAATTATTAATTGAGTATTTTAAGTCACATAATTCATTAATGGATCCTTCTTTGATATCAGCAGAACTGTTTTTTTTTCACTTCTGACAATAAAAATTAGTCCATTACTACCTGATCTTCATCTTCAACAGCATTTCCCTCATCACTTATGCGGTCAGCAATAGTCCTCAGTGGATCATCATCATCCTCTTCATCCATTTCTTCCTCTTCTGATGATGAATCACTAACTCGGGTTGCTCCATCTAACTGTACTAACTTTTTTAGAGTACCTAGAACAACAGAAACGAAAGAAATTAAAATTTTCCATCGTATTTTTTTCGTATTGATTAGCATATCAAGATGGCAATATTCGGTCCCAATCAATATAGAATTGGTAATTTTAGACTCTAATGAATAGCAAAACAGTAAAACTTTCAAACTTTCCTTTATTTTCAGGAAGAATACAGAAATCTCTTCAACTACCATCATGTTTTCAAGTTTAGTGATTTTGCCCAGGTCAGTATGAACTCCAATGGAACTTCAATAGCAGGTGGATCTATATTGATATGAATTAAAGATCTGAATAACCAGTTGCTAGTTTTACCGTTACATTCCTGATCGGTTTTTCGCCCTGTGTGTTTGTGATCTGTGCGAGATGAACCAGCCTTAGATGTTTTAGCAGCTAAACTAATTGCCCCGTCAAGCATCTGAATCGCACTTTCCGATTTCGGAATAGATTGTCCAGATTGAAGTGACTGTCTATTTGCCGGTTGATAAACGACAGCATTATTTAGGGTCACCGGGATTTGTGAACCAGCATTCAAAATCATAACGCTGCTGCCCGTTGGAAGATTAGCTGTCGTACTTCCTGTAAAAAAGTGAGAATCCATCAATGCATGAACCTAACATGGTAGTATGCAACAGTTCTTGATGTCAGGTTAATTCAGAAGATAAAAATAGCAAATCTAAATCCGATAATTCTAACTCTTAAATTTCTGTAACCATAAAATATAATAAAATGGTTAAAGAGAAAGCTAAACTTATAATATCGCACCATGCATCAAAAACTGTTGACCACCCTGTTGAACAATTCGTGTTTGACTTTGTCCAGCAGGAAATGTAATCATCCCAGGAGCCACTGTAGTTATCTGCGATGCATTCTGGTTCAATGATTGTCGCTGAAACCATAATTTATGCAAAATATATAAACTTAACTTACAAAATGTCATAACGAAAATATTTGTATTGAAGAAACAACACCATTCCGCATTATATCAAACTATGTATTCTACATATCTATTTTTCTTACGCACAGTAGTATAATAAAATTGAGTTCACTTTTTTTTTCCTTTAGTGTTTTACTTGCTTTAATGGATATAGAAAGAAGCGAAAGAAAACAAAGGCACGAAATCTTAAGCACTCCTAGAACCACAATGTTAATAACCCACGATATAGAAAACAACTCGCCAATCGTAAGTCGAATTTCAATCAATAAATTGAATTAGTCGTCAATAAGTCGAATTTTTAACAATTTTACCAATTACATGCAAAAATTCAGCTTATAAAAATAATATTACTCAAAAAAATGCATTTCACTGCTTTGAAAAACGTATCAGTTGATATTAAAAATCAATAGTCAAAATTAACATCACTATCATGCACCTGATTGACTTAAAATAAAAATTACCTGTATGACAACAGTATTTGGATCACTACTGATCGGAATATTAGCGGCGCTAATGTATTGCACCTGCTGTACTGGCCTTTGTATGCTTGACGTGCCGCTGGCTTGCATAACTAATGCTGGCTGTGCAACCTGTGACGATGATGATGAGCGTGCTGGCTGCTGAACCAATATATGCTGCAAAATATAGTGAATAAATTGATGAAAACTTTTGAGATCGTTTCAAATATATATGCTGTACGAAATATAAAACAAAAGGTTAAAAAACTGAAGACGCTTTGGCTACTAAACTTATAATTAATAAGTTAATCACGCGATATTAATATAGCTGCTTGCTTGGTTAGAATAATGATTAATCTCGTCTTTATTAATTACAAGTTCTGTTGTGATTAAGTCTTGATGAGTCTTGAAAAGAAATCAGACTGAATTCTAACTGATCCCACTAACCGAGAACCAGTCAATCAACCGTGATATTATATTGTACATCATCAAGATAGTTCAAAAGTACATAAAAAATAAGACATGGCATATTTTTTCACAATTCATTTGCTTAGCAAAATAAATCTATTTTATTCTTGCACAGATCGCACTATCCACATGTTATCGCTTCTAAGAAAACATTTTTTTTTTTGTATGAATTTTACTCACTGCCATAGATGAAGGAAGCATACATCAGGGAATACTGATATAAAATATAACCACTTTAAAAGTACCCAATTCTTCACCAGATAATGATTTTACTGATAAACAAAATACTGATGTCTTCTTTTCCTTTCCTTTCCTCGAAAATCGAACTACAGTACAGTGTAAAAATGGTATCACCTGCCCATTTTGTGCGATACGGACAGTGCTGCCTGGAGGTAAAGTTGTACTTGTCATAATCGGTTGCTTCATCTGTCGTAATGGAGGTGGTGGTACATGTCGTGGACCATCCCAATCAACACTATTGCTTGCGATTAACTTCTCTTCCCAATCCTAGAAAAGCGCTTAAGTTAAAAGTTATATAACATCGAAATTTTTTGTTCAATAACAATTGAAAGTCGCATGCTTTTAAAGCTATAGTGGAAAGCAAAAATAATAACAGTAAAAACAATGCACAGATAACAAGCTACATGATCAAGAGGTTCATCACTTAAGTATAGAGATTTAAGAAATGATTGTTAAATTCAAAAGGGCGACATGGCAAATCCACATGAAGAGACTAAATAATGTTAATTCAAACGATAATGTACCTTTTTAAGCTGTTGTAAAACATCAATATCAACATTTTCGTCCAGAAATGCTTCCTTAACTTGCCCGATGACATCATTTATCACACCCTTGTAAACATCTGCCTGCAAAAGTTTCTTCATTTCCTTTCCTACTTTATGATCTTTGAGCTATGAAAATCAATAACGCGTGCAAATATTGCAACCTAAGAAATTTACATTCATAAATAGGTTCTATAAAATATCTTCAACAGAAAATAATCCAAACTTTTCTTCTTTGGCTTCATACACGATTTATAATAATATAAATGTAATACCGCAACAAAGATACTATGTGCGTAATATTTAATATATGATTTTTGCACTGTTTTATAGGAAAGGCTTTACAAGAAAGGAAGAAAGAGCTAACAAAAATCCAAATGTACTTATACAAAAGACACAAAAATCAAATTAATAAATTCATATTTTGTAAAAGACTTAAAAATGTTTAAATTTAAAGTTAAAATCTTTACAATCAATCGTTCAATAAATTCGAGAAAAATAGAACTTACGATAGTATGACCTGCTTGTTGTTGCTGCGACATTGTCCAAGCAATGACAATGCGTGGAAAAATTCCTGATAGCGTATGATATATGTGATGCTAAAATTATATGAATCAGAAATGGAAATAAAAATTAAACTACCAAAAATGAATAATTACAATAAAACTGTTGTAATCACTCATTTTTCGCAGTTCAATTTTAAGCACATGGCTTGTCATATTGATTAATCAATATAGTTAGGCTTCATCAACTAACGCCATTTTGTACTTTTACATGCGTCAGCTATTAGTTTACCTTTTTACATTTGCCGTTTAAATTGCTTTAAATGGCAAATGTACAAAGGTGAATTCAAAAAAAAACTGACACACATGTATAATCCAGTGAACTCTGACCTGATAAATACGAAACAACCACACCGCACTTAATCACTCCTTGCCAACTGATATTTTTAATAGCGGCCTTTCTAACTGAGCCTCTGTACAAACGATGATCCCAAAATATTTTAATGCTTTGTTTGTTTTTTCATTTTTTGTGTTTCTTTTTTAAGTTATAATAAGTAATATTACAATCGAGTTTTTTTAATTTTGGCAATTGGAGGACTAATCAATTGTTTCCGTCTCCTTGTTTTGCTAATTTATGATAGATGAAACTGGAATATAATTGTTTAAATTTCAAAAATTTTAGCAGAATGGTATGAATTAATCAAATGGAATAGTTAATGATTTGATTTTTAAAACTAAAATTAACTGCGAAATATATTTATTAGCGAGAATTTGTTGGAAACTTTATCCATAAGTTTATTTTGTTAAAATAATTTATTTGAATATTTTGAAAATTAATAGTAACACGAAAGTATAACATTTTGATCATGCTTTGTTAATTTGATAATTCTTATCATTGAACGAAGTGGTATACTAAAAGTTTTATTATATTTGATGAAAAGCTATCATTTTTTTTGGATGAATTTAGATTTGAACGATTGCTATTATTTTTGTGAAAAAAGTAACATACTAAAGGAATTTGACAAAAAAAAAAACAAAATGGAGCATGAAGTTAGAAAGTTGAAAATAGTAACTTCTAGGCTTTTTCCAAGAACTGTAAATCCTATTCCATCCAGTTTTTCATTTCTATTCTAGCTAAGCTGCTAATTCAGTTCTAGTCCAGTTGTTAAGGCTATCCAAATTATTTTGGGTAGCCTCATAATTCTATTTCATTGATTGTTAATTGTGTAAAAGTTCCTATCAACGGTAGTTATTTTTTATGTTTGTAAGCTCGTTTTTTATGCGGTAGTTTTTCGACAAAATTTAGTTACGGATGACTTTTAAACTTCAAAAGAAAAAAAATTGATAGTTGTTTCAACCTTTCTAGAGTTTACAGCTTGATTCATTTAATAAATTTATTTAAAAGTTTCTATTTTTGTCGATGCCGCATTTTCATCCTTCTCAATAATAAATTTTTGCTACTATTGTTAAAGGTAATGGAAAGGAAAGCAAAAAAAAAATTATTTCTAATTTTTAGTTTCTTTTCCTTATCAAACTGATAATTTTATTTGATTTAAAAAAGAAAGGAGGCGAAGAAGAAGAAGAAAAAGGAAACGAAGAGGAAGTGGTAAAGGAAGAAATGCTGTTTTAAATTTCATAAATATATTGAAACCGTAAAACAGGACTTAAAATCCGGTATATTATTGGTGCATATTATCTTTTTGATGCGTTGAACGATAAGAATTTTCCGCGATTTATTGAATAAAATATGAATAAATATGAAAGTAAGTGAAAAGAAAAGTGAATGAGAAAAAAAGAAGAAATGAAAAGAACAACATGAAATGCTATGCTTTTGTTCATTATAAATTTTAATTTAATTTTTTTTTTGCTTTTTTTATTGTTTAAATATTGATTGTGCAAGTTTATGATAAAATTTATTTAAATTCTCTTTTTCAAAGCTCAGTTATTCGTATTGTTTTTGTTTTATCCTTTTATCATGTATTTATTATAAATAATTGTTGTAAGTTTTTCGCATTTATACGCTTACATTTATAATTTGAAATGTAGCAAATTTTTTTGCAACTTTTCTTATTTGTAGTTTGAAATTTAGCAAAATCTCAATTAGCAGATTCTCATTTTTTAAAACATACTTTAAGTTCTTTTATTCATTATCTGAAATTTAAGAGAAAAATTCGAAGTAAAATTCACCTTATCTCAAACAAAAAATCCTAAAATTCTCCAATTTTTTCTTCACTTTTAAAATAAACAAATGGAATCGATCATTTTGTTCATTTTTTTTCACGCATATGAATTATCAATATGAACAAGTTTAACATTTAATTCATTTGCTAAAGTTTATAAATAATTATTCGAAATTTAGTATGCAGAATTTTTTCAAATTTCATAGACATAATTTAAAAAAATTACTGCAAAAAAATTTTTTTTTGTTTTTCCTCATCAGTTATTTTAAATTGCAACAATATCATGGAGATATCAATCAAGTAAAAAAAAGAAAACATTATTATCTGAATGAATTTGCAATGACAAAAAGAGAAGAAATTTGCAGAAATAGAATCAAAAAGCAAATCAAAATTAACGCTACAACACTGATCGTTCAGATTGACGAGAAGTATGCGCAGGCGCAGTGAACGTGCAAACGGGCGTTTGCGTCCACCAAATACATCGAATGATGTCTTCTTTCATTTCTCCGTCGTCGGCAAATATTTATATGAATGACGTACTCTACGTGTCGTTCCAATCAATGTATTTCATTTTAATCGACAATTTTTGTCGTACTTTTTTCCATCTTCCTGCTCATATTTTACAATTACATTAATAAAAATGGGCATACGGGAAATTTTTAGACATTTAAAATTTTTAATTCATATAGATTTTTTTTTTTGCGCAAAATTTTATTTGCATAAGTTTTAATCCGAGAAAATTTTATCGGATAAAAAAATTTTCAATTTCATTCCCATATCTTTTTTTTTGTTAGCACTTAATTTTTATTCTCAATAATTCTTTGTCTTTTAAAGCAAAGCAAAATTTGAGTTTTACTAAAACATGAGGCATATATTTTCATGCACATGATAATTAGCTAAATCTGACTAATAGTTGATGATTATGAGTAATTCACAAAATAAGTTTAACAAAATATCATGCATTCAAATAGTATAACATTGTATAGCTTTATTTGTTGGTTTCTTTTTTTCCATAGTATAATACTGTAATCTTAATTTAAGGTAAGTCTATTCGTGCCGTTATCAAAAAATGACAATGACTCTATCAATTATGCGGATAAACACAACAATCGGAAACTTCTCATTGTTGCGATGTACTTAATTTTGCACAGTTCGCTCACATCATTATGTTTTGTGTGACAAATTCAAAACAAAAAAAAAAGAAATGACGAGAAATGAAGAACTGATAAGAACAAATTTGATGAATTCATTGAAATTTGTTAAAATTTTAATCAGTGTAATTTCGGGAAGAGAGAAACGATGGAAAAGGCAACGGGAGCATATAATTTGTATGCTACGAATGATGACAGTTTCAGGGGTAAAAATTAGAGGTAAAAATTTTCAGTATTTGAGAACTGGTTAAAAGTTTACCTTCATAGATAACAATGATTTACTACTAAATTATAATCACTTGTTTAATGCGAAAAAAGTGCAAAAACAATGAAGTGATCAAGTTTAGCAACCATTCAATTAACACTTCTTCCATAAATAAATGTTATCCATTTACGGATATTGAAAAAAGAAAGAAAAAAATAACAAAGATAAAATATTTTTTTAATAATCACTGAAAGTTATGCAAGGAAAATTTACATTTAAATTCTTTTTTTATTAAAAATATTAATGTGTTATTCAGTTGATTATCGTG